AAAAACCGCCATGAAAGCCACCCCAGCATCCAGAGCTGCCGAAAGAATATAGTTATACCTCTGCCACCATTTCTTCCGGTACCTGAAGACGAAGAAGTTGAATATTGTCCCAACCAAAATCCATGAATTATAGTTCAATGCTGTTGCTGGTGGCATATAGGCAGTTGCTCCAAGTAGTACTGGAAGGTTAATGAGGGGAATCCAGGATTGCTTTGGGAATGCCTTGTGTGCCAGCCACACTACAATTGGTCCTAATATTCCACCAAGGAAGAACCAGTTGAGAGCAGGGTAGTTGCCATAAGGGCCGAAAATCCGCCTGGGACCAACCAAGCCCCAGATGACAGATGCATCAAAGAAGACACGGTCACTGGGGCATGTCCAAGGGCTGTTTGATGGAAGCTTATCCTTCTGGCATATGTTGTCAATTGAGTCCAACAGCCACCATCCAACACTGAGATTGATTGTTCCTGCTATGATGGTTCCTAGAAACTGAAATGCAAATGCAAGAATTAGACCAAGAAGCTAGAGTGCGATTAATAAACATTGGTCATGAAGTTCAATCTCAATATTTCCAAAACACTGTGATGTTTTGTGCAAAAATGTCCGATTATGTCTTGAAAGCTTGGGTTTTATCTTTTTTCTTTTCCTTTTTGTTTTGCAGCCATCAAGTAAACTTCACAATGGTAATTTGTTACGCTGTGAGATTATCTGAATCACTCATTCTATGACTGGATCAAACTTGGGCCTTAATTAGTATACATCTCAAAAATTGTTTGCACTGTTGTTTTTAGTTTTTGTTTTTTGAAATTGAGAACAAAAATTGAGTAGATTTAGAGTACAAATTAGAACGGTTTGTATATTTTTGGAAACAACCTTTCCATAATTTAGAAAGCATCACTACCACCACCACCACGACGTTCAGCACACTTCAACCACCACCACCACCACCACAATTACGCTTTGACCGCCACCATCACACTCCCCCACACTTCCACCACCAACACAGTCACCACGTCCCCCACACAAAACGCCACTAACAACACGTCCACACTTCCACCATCACACTCTCACCACCATGTCCGTCACACCACCATCACTATGTTTATGTTTTTATCGTTTTTTGTGTTACTGTTCAAACAAGTTTTAATATTTTCTATTTCGTAGAATCGTTTTTGAAATCATATAACCAAACAAGTTTTGCGACAAAAAAACACTAAAAACAGTTTTCTAAAACTCTTTCCAAAATCAATTTTTTAAGACGCAAACCAAATAGGCCTAGTTTTTTTAAGATTTTGGACGGTGACACGATTTTTCAAGATTTTTTAGACTTAATAAGTTTGAGGTTACAACAGAGAAGCAGGATCTTACCTGAACCAAGAACATTGACCTTGGAGGGATCTTCATGTAATGGCCTAACTTGAAATCACTGAGAAAGGAGATTGCTTGAGTCATGCTCATATAGCCGTAAGTCTTAAAGCAGACATTGGCTATTGGTTTTCCAGGATATATTAGACCCATTATGTATTCTGTGATGATATTAAGCCCCGGAGTCTGCAAAGAAAGCATTAGAACATTGATTTATAAGAGCGTTACTTCGGTGATTAACAGGGCTACTAGTATCTGAGACAAAGTTGAAATAAACAGTAATTGAACCCAACTGAACTTACGTAAAAACTTTCATTATAATTGAGTCGGTGTTAATTCAAGTACTTTCTCATCTCACATAGAGAGAGAGAGAGAGAGAGAGCAGATAACCTTTGAGTTTTGTGAAATTACCTGATTTGTGGTGGCAGTAATAATGCTTATGGGAAGGGTAAATATGAAAGCAAGGGCAGCTGCAAATAGAAGTCCCCAGTATGGCATCTGAACCTGTTTTTTAAAGAAGATGCAGAGTGCAAGTGAAACCAACATTGTCACTGCAAGAAGCAAGTAAAACCACCAGGCAGGTATGTCTTCGTAATTCTTCATCAGTCTTGTGTGAATGTCCTCCTTTCCCTTAGAAGAAGCTCGGTATCGGTCATAAATCTCCCTATAACATTAAGAATTCTTAATGTTATACAGATTAAGAAAAAAAGCTAAGAAACAAATGGAAGTCAAGTGATCTATCCATCATAGTAAAGTCACTTATGAACAAAGAGAATGGTTTAGTGCTGACTGCTGAGTGATGAACAATAAGAATGATTTCGTGCATAAGAACTTGTTGGAGATCATATACTTGTGGATTTAACAAAAGATCAGCGAGCTTTTGTGACATTTAGTGAAGGTCAAACTGAGCTTTTAAAAAAAATTTGAAGATTGAAAAGTTTTAGACCGTTGGTGATAATTTTTTAGAATTTTAAAGATTTAGCAGGAGATTAAGACTAATCCTTCGTTGGAAGGAATCTAAGTAGTAGAATGTATAATAACAATAAAAAAAAAAAGGCTAAGCCGATGTTAAGGAAGGATTGACTCTCACAGGATGAACAAGACATTATTCAGCTGCAAGGTTATTACCATATAAGATTACTAGAAAACCAGAAAAGAGCCCTCGTTTCAAAGATTCGGGATCATGTTGGAGAAATCTATCATTTCTGGAGGAAGGGTAAGTAGAAAATCTGGTGAATTAGAAAACTTTAGAAATCAAACTACTAAGTTATATTTCTGATTTTCATAACTGACCTGAACTAGTTGTCGGAAAGAAATAAAAGATTCATAAAACTAGTGACATACTACATTTGAGATAAAGTAAGTAGCCAAACTTTATACAAATAAATAAAGAAAAGCATTACCTTCCATAGAACAAGGCAACATGAGTAAGTGTAGATGCAATGGTGGCAAATCCAAATCCATACGTGAGAGCGAAGAACATGCTCAAGTGGATTCTTCCTTGAATATCATACTGTTCTTGATTCAGCTCAAACTTATTATTGACAATATTTGTAATGTTATATTCCTGACCTTGTGCAGTGAACAAGTCTGCCGAAAATATTGGAAATGTTTTGGCATTGTACACATTAAACCCCCAGTAAGAGATAGGAATGACTATATAAATGATCAAGGCATAGCCTACAAAGACATTGGCAATGGCAAAGAATGGGCAAATGAGAGGGCTAAACAAGAAGGATGCTACTGCTGACCAGTCCAGAGTGAGAGCTCCAAGTCCTAGACCACTAAAGCCTGAACCTAATTGGTGGGCAGTGACTGAGTTTGGAAATGCCCAGCACACCCATGAGATGCTTTGAAGTGTTTGGAAGAAGTAACCTGGGAACAAGTACCAGCAGAAACTACATGTTAGTGCAACCACAAAAAACTTTGACCGCGACATTCGCTGCTTCTTGTCATGTGTATGTGCAGCATCTTCCATGCCATCTTCATTTTCTTTTTCATGGAGGGCACTGCAACATTCAATCAAACATAAAAAATAATTTGTAATCTTTTATCTTTCTGTGAACATTTTTGAGAAAATTTCCCAAGGAAATAGCCAAATATACAAAACTAGAGGGGAATCTAATAGTACATTTAATCGAACAACAAAATAATTTTTATATGACCCAAGGGGTGATTTAAGTGATAATAGGGACGAATTGTAAACTCAAATGTCTTGAGTTTGAATCTTGACAATCTCTTGGGGCAATATTAGATTTAGAGTAATGTTAGATGGAATTAAAAAATAGACTTGATAATCTCAACCATTGAAGAGGTAGTGAGCCCCAATAAATGCTGAAACCCAAAGTGAAATCAATGGTTGAGATTATCAAGTCTAATTTTTAAGTCTATTTTTTAAGTCTATGTATCATTGCTCAAGAAGGAGCCAACTTTGGGAAACGGCATATTACAAGATTATAATGAGTGAATACTTGTGCTTGTTTTGGTTAAAATATCCTATTAAGAAAACGTGTAAAGTTCATAATTTATTTACTTACACTTTTTTTTTCTTAATAAAACAAGTTGAACTTTGTTCAACCGAAAAAAAAAGTATTTTGGTCATATTAGCAATATACGAAACTAGAGGGGCCAAGCTAATAATTTTCAAAAAACAATACAAAACTTAAGAGGAAAAAAATTAAATTTCAAAAAACTTAAGGTGGGTCATGGCTCCCGGTCATAAGGTGGCTCCGCCACTGCTCGCCGTTCCTACTTAATGGCTTCCACGTGCAGCTCACCATTGGTTTTGCAAATGTGGAAGCAACAGTTTCTAAATTGTGCCTTGAAAATTACAACTTTCCCCACAATACTTTTTGCAAAATGCAATACAACCCCATTTCCGCCCCCAACAATTTTTTTTTCCTAGTATTTCCACAGAATTGCAAGCATTTCTTTTTACAAAAAGGTCATTCTCAGTTTGAACGGACAATCTAAAGGCATCGAAAGAAGTATCGTAGTGAAAATTTAATTTTTAAGGGTGAAATTATAATTTTTCAAGATCTAAATTACAACTCAAAGTTACAATCGATCACAAAATATTATAATCAATCATGAAAAATATAATTTTCAAAAATCAACTTACACCTTTAAAAGTTATTCATGATTGATAATAATATTCTATAGTCGATCAATATATTTGTGATTGATCATGATTTTTGTAATCGATCACGGACAACCTCAATTAATTATTACTTGACACTTAATTATAATTTGTTTCTCAAAATTTTTTATTTCCAGTATGATGCGGAAGTTAAAATTTTTTCGTATAAAGTATACTAGCAAAATTTTAATAAATAATTAATATACAAATATCTATATAATAAAGTATCTTACAATTCAAATTTCAAAAGATAAACAAAATGATTTTTGCTATTCGCAGTTGAAATCGCTTTAAATTTTACTTTAAAGTTAATATAACGATTAATATTAACACCTTAAATTTAATAGGAAAAAAATCTCTAAACGTGTGTTTAGAGTGAATTTTTAAAAGTACTTCTAGAAATTACATATCATAAATACTTTTTAAAAAATAGAATTTGAAACCGACCATCCCTACCACCCCCACCACCGCCATTATTGTCATCGTCGCCACTACTTTCACTGCCTTCGCCGCCACCACCATCGCTGCCACCACCACTACCATCACTGTCTCCTACCACTACCATTGTCGTCTACCACCTTTCACCTCCATTACAAACCGATGCTTAAATTTTTTTATTTATTCTCTATATTTGTAATTTAATTTTGAATATAAATACAAATATGTTTACTGCCACCACCACCAGCACCACCATCGTTGCTGCCCTCGCCACCACCACCATCGCCATCGTCGCTATCACCACCATCGACGCCGCTACCACTACCACTGTCGTTGCTACCACTACGACCACGACCACCACCGCCGTCGCCACCACAACCATTACCACTATCACCACCGCCCCCACCGCCACTAGTACCACCACCGTCGCTGTCGTCACCAACACCACCATTGCCGCAGCCCTTGCCGCCACCACCGCCACTACAGTCATTGCCATCCACAACAACCATCACCGTCTCCTACCACCACCACTGTCGCCCCACCACCTCCCACCCCCACTACAAATCAATTCTTAAATTCTAGTTTTTCTCTTCTCTATGTTTGTAATTTGATTTTGAATATGAAGATAAATATATTTATTATTTTTTATTATTCTGTGCCTTCAGATACTGACAATAACTAGTATATATATATATATTAGCCGGATCAAAATTATATATATCTATATACTTTTCCGATTTAAAAATCAAAGAGAGAGACCACAGTTTGCCGTACAAGGACTTTAGTACTATACTAGAATACTACTAACCGGAAAAGTGAGATCTGGACGAGGGTGCTAGGCCACCACATGTGTGCCGGTTCAACCACGTACTTCCTTAGGAGGCCAGCCCAACCATATCCCAAAACCTGCCCACGGCCACATCATGCGCATGTTAGCATCGTTTGTTTAGTGAGATAATACTAAAAAATGCAAGAGATAATTTTTAATGTGTTTGATTAGTATGAAATAAAAAATGTTGAAAAAATTATTTTTCTTATCACAATTAATTGACTTTTTTTTTTCTTACAAAAAACATAAAAAAAACAAAAAAAGTAGTAATGAATAACCTAACTTTCTATTTTATCCTTATTTTTTTTAAATATTCAATTAATTATTAATTTTAAAAACCTCGATATGTGTTAGGTTAACCATATAATATAATCTCGAGATTTTGGTTCAAGTCGATCCTTATCATAGAATTAGGTTATGAGTCAAATTTTTAAAATTATTAATTTTTAATTATAATACATATTTTTTTCTTATTTAAATCAAGTTATTATAATTAAGGATAATTTAAACAATTAAAAAAAATTATTATAACTTTTCTTTTTTCAAACAATAAAATAAAAATCTTTTAAAATTTTCTTGAAAGTTTTTTCTACTAACCAAATATATACGTGAAATTATATATTTTTTTTTTATTTTTTTTTTTATTATTTTCACTTTTCATCATCATTTTCTTTCTAGTTAAATGGACCTAAGATTGTTTTAATGCTCAGCAACTTTCCTATTGAATTTTAAGATCGCAGGTTTTGAACTTGTTTAAGACAATCACGCTATAACCATAAAGTATGAATAAAGAGTTAACTAGAAACAGAAAGAATAAACCCAGTAACAAGAATTCAATATACATAAGGATTCTCCGTTTGGTTGCCAAGAAAGTAGCATTTTAATAATTTATGAGTCCTGATACTGATGACCAAACAACAATAAAACCATAATCCTAGTTTCACTAAAAACTTCTCCCACTTAAGTTAGAACAATGTTATTGTGACATAATTTATGGATATAATGAATTATCACTAATAAAATGATAATAAATTTATTTAATGTTACAATGGAACCCATCATTAAATATAATTTATTATTATTTTATTAGAAACGCTTTATTATATTCCCAAATTATGTCACAACAACATTAGTGCTTAAAGTTAATTGTTTTTCGTGTGTTGGTGAAACCCAATGGGAACTATCAACCCAAAACTTCCGATGCCCAGAGTTTTGAACAAAATCTCAATCTGATAAATAGGCTCTGTTTGGCTGCCAAGAAAGTAACTATTCTGATGAAAACCAACACAAACCCAGCAACCCAAAACTTTTAATTTTGCTACTATTTTCTTCCATTTTCTCAGCAGCCAAACATAAGCTTTAAACAAAGAAAAAGAGAGATCAAAACCTGCGTAGTAATGATGAGAAGCCAACTAGCTATGAAAGAAATACTCCTCTCATAGAAGGCCTTAATGATATTAACAATCCCAACGGCATAAGCTGACCCACTCCCAAAAGCACTTCCGGCGTTAGCAAATATGGAAATAAGAACATGCTCCTTCATGTTAAACGGACCCGGATTAAGAGAGAACTTTCTTGACCCGAACCCCGGAAGGTGGAACTGGGCTGTGGGAAGCACAGCGGCCATGAACCGTCCGATTGGGAGTGTTGCCACCTGGACGGTGATCTGGGTTATGATGAGTGGCTCTCTGCGGTATGCGAAGAACTGGTTGAGGAATGAGAGGAGTACGCAGGAGAGTAGACCCAGGAACCACATTCGGAAGGTCCATACTGAGAGCGTCGGGTCGTCTGTGATGGGCACGGTTAGCCGGACTTCTTCTATTGGGGAGAGCTCGTCTTCGTCTATAGAATCATCTTCTGATATTTTCTTGGTCACTGTTTTTGGAGCTTCCACTTCCAAGGTTGCCATCAAGAGAGAGGAGAGAGGAGAAAGGAGAGAAGGGAATATGGCTTAGGCTATGTTTTTTTATAAGAGATTCATTGCATAGATATAATAACATAGTGTGAGAATAAGAAGCGGGAGAGGGGGGGAAGTGACGTAGGTAGGTCTGTATTTGGGTGAATCGCAATTTTTTGAGAGACAAATTGTAATTCACGCTTTGTATTTTGGTTTTTAGCAGCTTTGTTTTTGTGGTCTATTTGGATGAAATTACAAAGTTTGCCGCTGCTAAGGGTATCATGGCTTGGCTGGTAATTGACAAGAAACCTGTCCAAGGTGATTGTTTTTTTCGAATTATATTCTGTTGAAAAAGCATTAGTTGACAACATATCATTAGCTTTGACTATATAAAGAAAAATTTTATTTATATTTAATTTGGGGACTTTACTCATAGGCGACATACCGGGAGAACCAAGTGTTACACATTCTGACAAAATAAAAATAAAAATTGATCTATTAATTAGAGAAGGAAAATATTATTTAGATCTAAAAATTTAATATAATTTATTGACTTAGTGACGTAATTTCTTTGGAACTGTAGAAACAAAAAATTAGTGATACTTATACGTGTGAATTCGTAATATAATTTTTGGGAAAAAAGTTTAAACAATTTCCTAATCTTTTGTCTGTAAAACGAACAAATTGTTCAAGATTGAAGTGTTTCGATCGAAAACACTTCGATACTTAAGTCAGTAATGGAACATAAAGAATTGCACTAAGACTGAGAGCGTTCAGCGTACCTTTCACTTTGGTCTCTTCTGCTTTTTATAGATCGTTATCCCCTTAGGGTTTCCATGAATTTAGGTTCAATGTGACACACCTTCCTTCAATTCAGTTATTCAATTTGGGAAGTTGCTAATATTTCTCTAACAATTCCTCATGATATCTATAATTTCGTTAATTTGTTTATCTGATTGCTTAAGTTATAGGCGTATTTTTATCCTTCTGTTTATCTAAAATAGTTCAGATATATCAAATGTCGAACACACTTGATATTTGTCGAACAGATTAAGGGACTTAGTTTGGCACAAACTGATCTCTTCAATTGCCTTGCTGAATATTTTAACGGACTCGGCTTGGTACAAGCCGAGCTCTTTCATTGCTTAACTAAACAGACTGATGAGTTCGGTCATAAAGAGAATCGATCTTTTTCAGCTATTGTCGAACCTCTAATTAGCTCGGCTTAATTAGAAAACTCTAATAGAGGATCCTTCATCACGTGCTTGGTCTTATTAACATCACGTGAACACATTTAATGATATGTCACGTATAATCACGAGGTTTAATACCTTCAGAAATCATTGGATTAACATCAAGTTTTAATATTTGATAGAGCTCACAGTCAAGCCAAAGATCATAATGAATTAAAAGTCAATAAATTAGGTCAATAAATTAAGTTTCAATAGCATTACTCATAGAGTAATGCTAGATGGATTTAAAAATTAGACTTTATAATCTCAACCGTTGAATAGGTAATGAGTCCTAATAAATGCTGGGACCCACAGTAAAATCAATAGTTGAAATTATCAAGTCTAATTTTTAAGTTCGTAGCATTGCTCTTACTCGTTAGAGAAATTGTGAAATTTAACGTTGGATTCTAGTAAACACCGAAATGATATATTGGCTTGTCAATGTAGAAAATAAGAGGTTTTTGATACCTCGTGGTTGGTTAAATGCTATTCCTGGTTGTTTTCCCAAGCAATATTTCCTGCCAAGCACAAACGTCAGCTTTCAATTGTCTTTAATTGGGTTAATTTTACTTGGAACCCTGAAAGATTTCTAAATTCTCAATTTGCACCCTAAAAGTTTAATTTTTTTTCAATTACACCCTCAATCAGAAAATGTGTTGCAATCAGGCCCAATGGATAATTCTCTTTCCATTCTCTGTCTGTTTCACCCACTGGAAATCATAAGAAATATGGGTGAACTGTTTTGAAAGTCAAATTGCGAGAAAATTAGGTGGTTCATCAGATAAATGGTTGGATTTGATGCCCAAAACAGGTCTGTTTTGATCAATAAACTCTTCCTTATGTCACATGTTTTGCACATGGGGTAAAACACAAGACAAATGAGACGAGAATTATTTATTGGGCTTGATTGAAACACATTTGTTTGATTGGGGGTGAAATTTGGGAAAATTGAACTTTTAAGGTACAAATTAATAATTTTAGAATTTTTTAGGATGTAAAATGAGATTAACCCGCATTAATTAGTGTTTTTACATAGTCAGAGGTAAATTAGTGTTTTAACATATGTCATTTTGATTTCAATAAAAATTCTAAATAATATATTATTATGTCATTTGAGTTCTAAAGTTAATTTCAAAATTTGGTCAATAATAGCATTACTGTTTTCCTTTTATTACGCAAAGGGCAGCCCAATGTCATTGTTGGGAAGTACTAAGTAGACTATTTTACCTTGCACGAGTAGTTTGGTGATAAAACGGGTGTACCCAGTGTACGAAGATTCTGTTATTATTAGGTTTGAAAAAAGTTAGATGTACATAATTTTACCGCTACAAACAACGAATAGTTTAGTGATATAGTATTAAATTCAGCGTGAATTATATACTCACATGTCTTGGGTTCAATCGCTACTGCCGACTGTTGATTTGGATTAAATCGATTCTTACAGTTAGCATGTGATTGCATGCATTTGGTGTTTACTTTACAAAGATAGACCCAAAATAACCCTAGAAATTCTGTGTCACAAAGAAAGGAAAAGAAAAAAAAAAACAGAGATACTCCAAGTGCCCCAATTGAGCCACTCAAGATAGAGATAGGGTCAAAGAGTCACGGGCGCACACAGCACGATGACTCATGCTCTGATATGAATAACGAGCAGAGATCCATGGATAGAGTAGCAGAGATGACAGTCAAGTTCAACCAATGAAATCTATCATAAGAATTAGGAGAAATTTTTGTTGTGGGTTTAACAAGTCACGTGAAAGTATAAGGTGTTGTATATCACCAACAAAATATTTTACATTCCCGACCAATGATGGCCACCTATCAGTTTGTCAAAATTCTTTTTGAAAAAACTAACTTGTGTATCACACAAGCTAGTTTTGTGATAGTTCCTCAGTATGTGTTATGGTTTCTTCGTCGTTAGGGCTCAAAATCTTTCTTGCTAGCTCTTATGAACTCGGGTTTTTTTTTCCCCCCGGTGCTTAGGTGTTAGAAGACACATCTCACAAGTCTTGTGATAAAGTGTGAGCCTTCTAACTCATTCGAAGGACAAAATAAACTCATTCGAAGGACAGAGTAACTCGACAGTAGAAATAGAGACATCTTCACGGCTTTTTATTTTTATTTTGTTATTATTAACCCACTGACACGAGCTGAGACGAGACTGCCAACTTGTGTTTAAATATATAAATATCAGAGTACTATTATTACATGAGTAGTTCATCTGATAGAGTACCATTGCATTTGATAGAATGCCATCTTTCAAATTGTACTAAGATGGATATTAGAATGAGTAAGTATTACAAAGACATTATTCAATTTTAAGGTTATTCCTAGAAAGGATAAATGGGGAAATATATATAGTTTCTGCAGCCAGGCTGCACAGAAAATCTGGTGAATTAAGAAAACTTTCGAAATCAAACAACTATGTTATATTTTGAATTTTCATATCTGGCCTTGAACTAATTTTGGTATAGATATCAAAAACAAAGATTCAACTAGTAGCTGACTCTAATACTCCGTTTGGTGGGAATGATAGAAAATAGAGAGAATAGAAAGTAGAAGGGATACCGTTTCTATTTTTCAAGAAAGAAAAGTAGGAATGATACACTTTTTTTCTTTTGTGTTTGGTTGGATGGATAAAAAATAAAAATAACTAAATTTTTTTTTTTTTGGATGTTGACTAAGATTAAGAGTGATAATCGAGTTGTATCGTGTCAGATTTATGCCGAATCATTACGGGTTTGTGTCGAATATTACTCACACCTAACTCAACTCATTTAACGAATTATGTCATNAGATTTATGTCGAATCATTACGGGTTTATGTCGAATATTACTCACACCTAACTCAACTTATTTAACAAATTATGTCGTATCGAGTTACGAGTTGACCTGTTTATTTTCGTGTTCGAGTTAATTAAGTTTATGTCATAAAATTCATGTCGAATTCGAGTCGTATCATCGTGTTGAGTCAAAAATTTTCACCCATAATTAATATTTTNTATCGAGTTACGAGTTGACCTGTTTATTTTCGTGTTCGAGTTAATTAAGTTTATGTCATAAAATTCATGTCGAATTCGAGTCGTATCATCGTGTTAAGTCAAAAATTTTCACCCATAATTAATATTTTGTTAATTTTATTTTTAAATTTATATATATATATATATATATATATTTATATGAAATTAATGTATACATAATATATGTATATATAAAAATGTATATAGACAAATAAGAAATATATCAACACAAATAATTAACTTTATATCCACTTTCCTTCCGATTTTGGAGGAATTGATTTGGGTGAGTTGAAAAAAAAGTTAATCTATCAACTTTTCCATTCTTATTATTTTCCTTACCAAACATGATGTTTTATTGATTTTTCTAATTTTCTATCCTTCTATTTTTTCATCATATCAAACGGAGCATAAAACGTTAGGACAAGATTTTTTTGAATTTAGTATAACAAACTAATTCAAAGTTGGGCCAGCCAAAAGTAGTGACATACTATAATCAAGGCAAATTAAGTAGCCAAACACATATTTTAAGCTTTGCATTTCGTAAAACAACGCACCATGTGTAACTGTAGGTGAAGTTATATTCTTGACCCCTTTTTTTTTTTTTTTGCCTTTGCAGTCGGGGGTATTTGAGTCACTTTACGTTCATTTTTATTAATCTCTTTCTTAATCTGGCCAAAAGTAAGTCATTTACGTCAGGATTAGGGTATTCGTGAGAGATAAATTACTCATAATTTAACTTTAAAAAATTGTCAAAATTCAAATTCAAAATATCTAAATTTACAATTCGTCG